TTCACGGAGCTCGCAGGAACACAGGGTGCACACCATCGTCCCACACGTCCTGCAGCCGGTGAGGCTCTGCCCCAGGGACTCCCACAGTTCCATTCCTGGACTCACTGACTCCATCCGTCACCATCGCGGCCAGCAAGGTTGTGCAGGAGGTTTACAGTAACACCTCACATCGGAGAGCTGATCGGAGCCCCAGTTGTTCTAATTCCAATTCAGCTCCCTGCTAACACGCTGGGCCCCCGCACCCACACTGGAGACCATGCTGGTGCTCCAGGCTCCTGGCCTGGCCTCATCCAGACATGGCTGTTGCAGGCATTCAAGGAATGAAGCAGCAGATGGAAGACTCACCTGCACTTCCACAGTCATTCTGTCCTTCAAAAAAGTAAATCTTCATTAAAAAAAAGAGAGAGAGAGAAAATAATGCATTACCTACCTTGCTGAATTTTCATGAGCTGGAGGTTTGTAACATAAAAAAATCCATTGTTTGTAAGAAGCAACATATAATAGGAACCTATGAAAATGAAAATGAATTTCTCTAAGAGGGACATTAAAATTAAATCAGCATGTAGAAGTTTAGAAATCAATCTCATTCACATAATACAGTAATGATATTGATAAAGCATATTTGTAAATAAGGAATCTATCCATTTGCTGCAAATGGCAGACTTCCTTTCTTTGTTGAATAATATTCCATCGTGCATGCACACCACGTTTTCTGTACCCATTCGTATGATGACAGACCCCTTGGCTGGTCCCAAACACTGGCTGTTGGGACAGTGCTGCTACAAACACGGTGCTGAGATTCCTTACCGTTCTGTCTCCTGGACGTATATCTAGCAGTGGGACTGCCAGATCATGTGCTAAGTCTGTTTCTACTTTTTCAAGAAATCTCCACACTGTTTTTTTCACGGTGGCTGCATTAACTGACATTCCCCACAATGGTATGTGTTACCTTCATCCTCACTGGCATTTTAGTTTTAAATTTCAGCCATTCTGACAGCACTTGGTGATTTTCATTTACATTTCCCTGATGGTGAAGTGACGTTGAGTATTCTTGAACTATATTTGCATGTCCTGAAGACTGTTCAGTGAAGGGCTTGGCCCATTTCTCAACGGGATTTTCTTTTGAGGTTGAGTATTTTACCCACCACACCACACTAGAATCGTGTATTTTAAGCTGCTGATATATTCAGTACATTGTTTGTCGGACGGGTTGACAAAGTTTTTCCTCAATTTTGTTGGATGTTTCTTCACTATATGGATCATTTCCTTTACTGTGCAAAATGTTGGGGTCCGTGCAGTAGATGTGGGGAACATGCAGGGGTGAAGAGTGTTGTTTCATTGCAGGCAGGGCCCGCCCGGTGGATGTCTCTACAACCACCTGAATGCAGCTCCACCTTCTTTTGCATGGACACCGGACCACCCTGCGGAAGAATTCTAATCCATCCAGGCATTGTTTGCTACTGTGGGGCTGGCCTTTTGCTCAGTGTGAGCTTGGAGGTTAATGTCGGTGATAGCGTCTTGCAAAAGGGCCTTCTATTATTCCTACTGTCTTGGCTGTCCCCATTGACCTTATGCTAATCAAGGGACCTACATTTAGGCTTTCATTCTTTCCTCATTCTTTAGATTCCCCTTTTCTTTGTGATACAAGATTGAGTTGTAGGATAAGAATTGTAGCAGGAACTTCTATTGTTTCTAGGTAAAACTAATGGCAGAATTATCCTTAGAAATTCCCAACTTGACCATGACATAAAGTCTGAGCCAGAGTTTGACTGATTTTGTATAAATAAAGCGGACAGCTTTCCCACATTGTCCATTATGATCATGAAATCCTAGTGGTCCATCTTTCTTTCCTCTTTGCGCCTCATCCACGCACCCTTCGCAAGTTCCGAACTCAGCTGGAGCTGGACTCTGGTAGCAAAAGCTTCAGAATTTGATATGATCCCATTTTATATGGTTTTGCTTTGTTGCTGTGCTTTGGGGTGGAGTCTTGTCACCCCTGATTGTTCCCCCTTCATTTTATTCCAGCAGCTTCAGTCTTAGGTCTTAGATCCATCTTGAGTTGATTTTTGTGTATGATGACAGGTACAGATCTGATTGCATTCTTTACAAGTATGTGTAAATATTCATATATAACTACATGTGCAGTTTCGCCAGCAACATTTGTTGAAGCTGCTCCTTGCCCGACCGTGCAGTCTGAGCACTGTCACAGCCAGCTGCTCTATGTATGTGGACGATCTTCTAAGATCTGTATGCTGCTCCACCGATCTTTCCATCAGTCCCTGTCCCAGGGTCACCCTGCTTTAACTACCGTGGCTCTGGCTGCTCTGGAGACAGGTGCTGCGGAGCCTCCAGCAGGATCTTCCTTATTCAGGATCGCTTTGGCTATTCTCGGTCCTCTGTGATGCCGCATCAAGGTTAGGACTGTTTCTTCTAGCTTTGTAGAAGATGGCATGGGCGTTTGATGGGGGTGACACTGAATCTGTGTATTGCCTTAGGTTGTGTAGACAAAGATCGATCTTCTGATCCATGAGTTGGAATATCATCCCATTTATGTGTGGCAATGGTTGTTTACTGTAGAGGTCTTTCCTTATTTGGACAAATTTGTTCCTAAATATTTAGCTGTTGTGGTGGCTATCGTGAATGGGATTGCTTTCTGTGAATTCATCGTCGGTATACAGTAAAGCTACTGCTTTTGGGGTGTTTATTTTGTAACCTGTACTCAATGTTGACAGCCTTTGCTGAAGCGTTTAGATTTCCCAATGCACAGCACCCGGATCTTTGATGGATGCACGTCCAGTTCTGATGTGCTTTGTTACTTTCTCCTCTCTAGCTGCTCTTGCTCAAACTTCCAGCAGCACGCTGAATAAGAGTGGGCAAAGTCTACATCCTTGTCTTGTTCTGCATCTTAGGGAAAACTTTTTTTCTTTTTCAGCTTTTCCCCACCCAGTATAATACTGAGTATTGGTTTGTGACCTACAGCCTTCATAATTCTAAATATCCCTTCTACAAATTAACTTTTTTTTTTTAATTGAAAAGGTAGATTTTACAGAGACAAGGAAAGATTCTCCATCTGCTGGTTCACTTCCCAAATGGTCATAATGGTTGGAGCTGAGCCAATCTGAAGCCAGGAGCCAGGAACTTTCTCTGGGTCTCCCTCACAGGTGCAGGGTCCCAAGGCTTTGGGCCATCTTCCACTGCTTTCCCAGGCCATAAGAAGGGAGCTGGCGGGGAAGCAGAGTAGCTGGGATATGAACTGGCACACAGATGGGATGCTGGCACAAAGCAGAGGATTAGCCAGTTGAGTTATCGCACCTCATGCTACAAAATTCCTTCTTTTTTTTTTGTATTCTCTTTCTTTTTGCAAACTTCCTTCTTAATACTATGTTTCCTATATCTCAGTTTTGACAGGTTTTCATTTTCATTCACGAAATCTTTTTATTTTCTTTTTAATTTCTATACTGACTTATTGATTGTTCAGTGACATGTTAATTTGCAAGTATTTTATAAAATATTTAAGAACCAGGGCCCGGCGCAGTGGCGCAGTGGTTAAGGTCCTCGCCTTGCACGCCCGGGATCCCATATGGGCGCCAGTTCTAATCCCAGCAGCCCCACTTCCCATCCAGCTCCCTGCCTGTGGCCTGGGAAAGCAGTCAAGGACGGCCCAAAGCTTTGGGACCCTGCACCCGCGTGGGAGACCCAGAAGAGGCTCCTGGCTTCAGATCGGCATAGTATCGGCCGTTGCGCTCACTTGGGGAGTGAATCATTGGACGGAAGATCTTTCTCTCTGTCTCTCCTCTCTGTATATCCACCTTTCCAATAAAAAAATAATAAAAATAAATCTAAAAAAAAAAATTTAAGAACCAAACTTTACTTGCCTGGAAGAAATCCTCAAACAAAAGAAATTAGTCCAGTAAATATTTCCTTCAACCAAAATATACATATGCTGAAATCTACCCCCCAAAATGTAAAGGAATAATGTCCCTGGTGATTTTAAATCTGTCAATTTTAGGGCTGGTGGTATGCCAGATAAAGCCACTGCCTTTAACATTGGCATTCCATGTGAGCGCCACTTCAAAGCCCAGCTGCTTCACTCCTTAGCCACGTCCCTGCAAACAGCCTGGGAAAGCTATGGAAGACGGCTTGATGTTCCTACCCACGTGGGAGACCTGGATGGGAACCAGGCTGGAGACTTGAGTCTGGGCCAGCACCGCCTGATGCTGCCATCTACGGAGAGAGCCAGCCAAGACGAGACTTTTCTCCGTCTCTTACTCTCTCTTTCCTTGTAACTCTGTGGTCAATAACTAATGAATCTCACATTTTAATTTAGAGCGTTACATTCAGAAAAACTATTCTGAAAATAGCTAAAACAAACAAAAAACTTTCTTACAATAGTAATTGTATCAGGGTAGCTAAAGTAATAAAGTGATATTTACTAACCAGAGATCTAAATTTTTGATTCAGTTTTTATCAAAAGCCACTCAAAAAATATTCAGGAAAACTTACCTTCATCTGAACCATCTTTCGCAATAATGAGATTCTGATAAGTCCGTTGGCTTTTATCATTAGATGGCTGAACAAAAGCCTAGTTGCAAATGCATTTCAAAAGAGAAGATTAAAGTCAGCAAAAACACAAACAAAAATTAGATTCCTTAAAGCCCAAAGTTATCAATTCTCATTAGTGATAATTCTGCCTCTATCGCAAATATTTGAGTTTTAAAAATGGAAAAATATCTTGGACCAGCATTTCAACCTTCCAACACTTAATTTTTCAGTTCTGCATTTATTCCATACTTTTGAGGCATAATTTCTTAAATTTAATGTGAAGGAACCTTATTCCTTAATTTAAAACACAAAGAATGGCTTCTAGTGGTACAGCTGTCTAACAGATTATTTAGAATTTATAGAACAAATATGAAAACCATAAGCAGCTCTTACAGTAGTGAGTAGCGTCTGCTTTGACGTCACATGGATAAGATGCAAGTTGCCACTTCTTTCCCCAACCAGGAGAAATTTTCCTTCTTGACACAGGCCAACTACATCCACTTCCGTTTCTGAAAATTTCAAATTAAAGTTATGTTTCCTTTGAGAATGCTGACTGTCAATAAAAAAAAAAAAGCAACAAAAATCTTGGCTTTACAAAGTAAACGGTTTAAGCTGCTTCTAAATATCTCAGAAAAGTTACACTAAAAATGAAAAAGAATACACTGACTTGTATTCAGTCAGCAAATATTCCTTTGGGCCTTTTACGCGATAAGCATGGATACAGGCCCCTAAGGTTATCTAAGGACAGAAACAAACAGCCTCACCATCACACTTCAAGTTCTAAAACAAAAATAGATGTTACACAATTAGCATAATAAACACAACATGTGCAGAAGGGGATAAGTGTGTGCAGAAAAGAGAACAAAGTTAGCAGTGATGCTTAGGGTGGCCAGGAAGGCCTGGAGCTGAGCCAGAGCAGAGCCTTCTGAAGCCAGGCTCGGCTCCAGCAGCGCCAGGCCTGCTGCACTGAGCTGAGCGGCCATCAGCCAAGGTGACCCACATGGAAGCAGAGGGGAGCGACCGAGACAAAGCAATCACAGGAAGCAGCCTGTGGACTGAAATGATTGGGCAGCAATACCGTCACGCAGCAGTAGCACAGGTCAAACCCATCCGCTACTTCCTGGCTGAAAATTGTCAACCCTAGACCCAGCGTGGCAGCCCAGCAAGCTATTCCTGCACCCGACAGCACCGGCACCCCGTAAGGGTACCAGTTCGTGTCCTGGTTGCTCCACTTCTGATCTAGTTCTCTGCTTATAATCTAAAAAAAAGAAAAAAGCCGCAGAGGATGGCTCAAGACCTTGGGAGCCCGGGAGGAAGCTCCTGGCGCCCAGCTTTGGATCAGCTCAAGTCTGGCCACTGCGGCAGTCTGGGTAGTGAACCAGTGGATGGAAGACCTTCTCTCTGTCTCTCCTCTTCTCTCTGTAAAACCTTCCTTTCAAACCAAAAACAAATAAATCTTTAAAAAAGAGAGAGAAAGCTAGTTTTAACACAATCTGATTGTCCATTAGGTCCAGATCTATATGGGCTTAACTCAAATCCTTTAAACCGCTGAAGAATCAATTACTAAGTAATTTCAAGATTGTCACAGAACTATGCATGCTACAAGTATTCAAACATGCAAATTTGATAACATTCAAAATGTTATCAATTGAAATTATATACAAGAATCAGGAACATGAACTCAAATGTTCAACATCCTGACTCAAAAATTTGCAAGTAAACTACATTACTGCTTGCCGTACAGGTCTCTCCTCGGACACACTGACAGTACCATTCCTCCAAGTATTCTCTGACTCTAGAGGCCAACCTAAAAAGATACCTTTCCTTTTTCCTGAAATTCATCTAATTTTGATTTTTGCAAACAACAGAGTAAGGAAAAGCAACGCAGAATTTGACAGTAAAATATCTGATACCCAGTTTATTTTATTTCAACACATCAGACTCACCAAATATGAGATGCAATTGAAAGGATCTACAGACACTGTCAAGCAGTATCACCGACTGGTCAGCTACAATAATAAACCCATCATTTAAGCTGCAAGCTTGTATCTTTGGATTTAGTGAAGGCTGCAGTGGAAAAAAAAAACAGGATTAAGATGAGACCATTTTCCATAAGTTTAATAAAGACTAAAGTTTCAGTACCCTGGGCGTGTAGGAGGGGGCACCCTGGTGAACCGATGGCCGGAGAGGGACGGAAGATCTTCCTCTCTGTCTGTCCTCCTCTGTATAACTGCCTTTCCAATAATAAAAAAAAAATCTTTCAAAAAAAAAAACCAAAAAACAAATACATCTTTAAAAAATGGATTTATTAAAGTTTAGTTTTAGAAATACTGTGGGGTGGGTGGGAAACCAGGTGGGGCTTCTCCCTCAATATCCCCCTTTACCTCAGATACATGAAGGAAACAATATGGAAATAATAGTCTTACCCACTTTCCTGTAGCCCTTGACCCTTTTTACCCAAATTAACTATGTAAAGATTGTCCAAAATAAATTAAAAAAAAATTTTAAAAGAAACAAACGAAAAAACAAAAAAAATACTGATCCTGGGGCCCGACACGGTAGCTTAGCATCTAAAATCCTAGCTTTGCACGCACTGGGATGTCATATGGGTGCCAGTTCATGTTCGGTGTCCCCACTACCCAGCCAGCTTCCTGTTTGTGGCCTGGGAAAGCAGTCCAGGATGCCCCAAAGCCTTGGGACCCGCACCCATGTGGGAGACCCTGAAGAGATTCCTGGCTCCTGGCTTCAGATTGGCTCAGCTATGGCCCTTGTGGCCACCTGGGAAATAAATCAGCCGACATAAAATTATCTTTGTGTATCTGACTTTCCAATAAAAATAAAATAAATCTTATAGAAAAAAAAAAAAGAAATGCTGATCGTGAGGGGATATGCATTCACGTGGGAAGTACACATTCAGTCACACGTCACCGGCCCGAGGTCGAGCAGGTCAGGAAGAACGGCGCGGGCAGCGTCCTCATTACCTTTTCGGAGGAGATCTTCACCAGCAAATCGACTTGATATAAAGCAGTCCCGTGCTCCTTCCGGGACCCCGTGGTCAGGCAGCCATTTCCTGTGTCGTCACTGCTCAGGAGCTCCACGTCCTTCCACATGTCTGAGACTGTCGCCCCAGGCCGGCGAGCGCAGCCTTCTCTGCACAGCAAAAGGGGAGGCCTAATGACCCTGCCGCACACAGAGCTCAAAGGCAACATCACAGACGCTGACACTCACACAGACTTCTCATTCACTCCATGATCACTAGACACGCTGGGCCATCCCAGGACTTGGGAGTTAGGATTACAGCCGGATAAAAACATAGCGTGCTCCAGGAAACACGCAAACCAACAACTCCAGTCCCACCAATGTACTCTCAGTTCAACAGCTGGAAACCATGTCAAGTTCTCATGTGAAAAATGAAACTTTAAGATAACTAAAAAACATAGGTGCTTAAGTTCAACTTGTTTTCATTCATAAGAGAACAAATTTCACCTGCTTCATAGATACAGCTTTTTAACATGTATTTGACAGGTACAGTGACAGACATGGATCTTCCATCTGTTTGGTTTGCACCCCCAGCGGCCACACAGGCCAGGGCTGGGACAGGCACTCCAACAGGGTCCCCTCTATGGAGGCAGTGGCCCCAGGACTTGGGCCGTCGACTACTGCTTCCCCAGGCACGTCAGCAGGGGGTCAGGTCGGGAGCTGCAGGAACTGGCCCCCATGTAGGATGGAATGCCACTATCGCAGGCAACAGCGTAACCCACGCACAGTGCTGGCCTCCAATCCAGCTGTTTTTGGCTTCATAAATGGTGAGTCCGGATGATCTAAGAACAACACCCATTAACGCTCTTACAGTATCATTGTACAATAAATAAAAATGATACTGAAAGAGAAAAAAAGCTGGATGAGGGGCTGGCACAATGGCTCAGCAGGCTAATGTTTTGCCTGCAAGCAGCACTGACATCCCATGTGGGTACCGGTTCAAGTCCCCGCTGCTCTATTTGTAATCCAGGTTTCTGCTTGTACCCTGAGAAAGTCTTGGCACTCTGTACTCAGACGGCTCTTGACTTCAGTCGGCTCAGTTCCGGCCATTGTGGCCACTTGGGGAGTGAACCAGTAGATGAAAGATCTGTCTCTCCTCTCCGTAAAATCTGACTTTCCAATAAAACTAAATCTCAAAAAAAAAAAAAAGCCTGGTGGGGAACAATTTCCGAATAATTCCACTTGCTTTGAGGCTTTTTAGAACAGAATGTTGGAAATGCAGGGCAGGTGCAGGCATCAGGAAGAACGCGATCTGATGTGGTGAGCCGGGACCTGTGAGCCGCTCAGGGCTCACCCTCACGGGCTGATCTCACCATCCGTGGAAGCAGGGGACGTTTGGGAGCCTGGGGTGACAGAAGTGGTGTTGGGATGGGGGCGGGAGCCAAGGCTGACACAGCGAGGAGCCCTGTCACCTCCACACACCCGTCACTCCATCAGCACGTGTGTCCCGAAAGGCCCCGGCGGCTGACTGCGTTACAAGGAGGACCAGGGAAGGCGAGCAAGGAGACGTGACGCTGCCCTCCTGGGTAAGAGGGAAGGAGGGAATCGCCGGCACCTGTGGCGGGAGCCGGACGACCGCTAAGAGGAGGTACTAAGCACTCAGTACAGTGCGCCCGTGCGGGGCGGAAGGGGGTCTCCCCAGGACCTGCCTAGGACGATCTCAGACGCGCAGGCGGAGCAGCGGGGTGCAAAGCCTCGGGGCCCCGGAAAGGCAGCTGGGGCGGTGCGGGAGAGGCTGACTTTGACTCCCGGCTTTCTCCTCCGCGCGAGCCTGGGGTGGGGGCTCCGGGCGACGCGGCCTGCCCTCCCCTCGGCCCTACGCCGCTCCCGCGGGCGTCCAGGCGGACACACCCCTCCACTCGGGCGGGAGCCGCTGCCGCTTGGCCCCGCACCCGCCCAACACCTCAGGGGAGGACGCCCTCCGGCCTCACCTGCGACGGAAAGCCCTAAACGGGAACACGCAAATAATCCAATCTGGCTCCTCACTCAACACAACCGCCCCTAAGCTCTTCAGCTTCCATCCCACACGTTTAAATTGGCGGGAGAAAGGCGAGCCCAACCCCCTGCTAACGGTGGCCGCAGCGGGCCAAGCCGCCTTCAGACTCGAACGCGGAAGTCGCCCCGCCCTAACTAGCGCTTGGAGTCGCCTCGCGTCGCTGCGTCCCGACGCCGACGTCTTCCGCCCTGCCCTTACTTGCCGCTTTCGGAAGGGCAACCAATCACCGGCTCAGGCCGCGTTACTATAGAGACTCCTGTCCCACCCCTTTTCCTCCCAGCAGGCTGCGCGGCGCGCTGGGCCTCAGAGCCTTTGTGCCATCCGGGTCTCTTGCACGAACGATTCAGTCCGTGTCGAAGCTTCGGAGCTGTCGGGACTGTTGCGAGAGGAGAGTGGCGGCGCCGCGCTAGCGGCCAGGACTCCAGACCATGGCGGTAAGTGCCGAATCCACCGAGACGACGGGGGTTGCCTTCCTGGCCGTCGGCCACCAGTGGACGAACGGCTGCCACAGCTGTGGTCCGCCCGTGTGTGTGGACAAAATGGCGCCGCGGCTGCCTTTGCGCCGCCATCATGGCTGCTGGCTGTCGGGAGGGGGGATGAAGGCGGTGTCGCTGGGGGTGGGGAGCCCAGGGAGTGCCTGCTGCTGTGGGGTTGTTTTTTCTTTTCCAGAACTTTCCTCTTGTCTCTGGCCCAGGGGGTTCTTTTCGGCTCCGTGCCTGGCCTTCTGTGTAGCTTTCTTTCCATGACGAGCAGGTGCTTTGAAGTTTTTTTCCCGTGGCTTGCGAATTGGCGGTGCAGAACGGTTGGGGACGGGAGGAGAGGCCTGGAGGGTTTGGAGAGAGGGCCGCTCTGTTTTTGTTTGTGTTTGGGGTTGCATAATCCCGACGGGTGCAGGTCCCGTTTCTGGGGAGTTTGAGAGAACCCGCCCTTGGAGGATTCCTCCAGAACCGACCGTGGTTCTGATAGGTCGAGGGGGTCGCGGTGACCTAGTTTTTGTTTTGTTTTATTTTTTAGTTGTCCTTAAAAGTGTTAAGCGTCCTGGAGCGTCTGGTTTGTTCTCTGCCCGCCTCGTAACAATACTTTGTAGTGTGCGTCTTGGGTTCCAGCGTTCTGGAAGTGAGGTTGATTGTAGCGCTGGTTCCCACAGTGCCTGGTGCAGTACCAAGGCGGTCCCTGGAGAGGCGGCCCAGTACCAGTTCTCGCCTCCGTCGCACTGGAATTAGATTCCTATCCTGTGTTTGAATCGTTACTAGACTTTTCAACAAGATGTGGCTTCTTACAGAGCTGCTGCTAGAATGAGAGATGATTTGTCAGCATTGATATACATAGGTTTCTGTTAAAAGAACGCTAAAACGTTTTTAGAACAATATTAATATTCAGCTAGTTTTGCGATGTCTGGATATTTCCATTGTGCTCCTGTGACATACTCTGAGGGAGGTAAAAGAAAAATTTGCGGGCCCATATAGATGGCCACCTACCTCATTTCAGGCTTTTTTTTTTTGCATTATTGGTTCACAGTTGGAAATGGCTCTTTGCTTGTTGTAAACCCCTGCCTCAAGGGAACTTCTTTAACGCTGGGCTCTGGTTTTAAACATGGTGTTAGATTCGTGATTGGATCGAATCAACTTCTGTCTACGGCCATACCACCCTGAACGCACCCGATCTCGTCTGATCTCGGAAGCTAAGCAGGGTCGGGCCTGGTTAGTACTTGGATGGGATCGAATCAACTTCTGCACCAAGTGCTGGCTTTTTCATAAGAACTTGTGTTCAGCCAGTTTAGTGCTGGTAGCTTTCTGTGAGATTGAATGTAACAGACCGCTAGTTCTGCTAATGTTGTCTGTTCAGCCAGGAAGTGTTCTGAGAGAAGAGGAAAGATGAATTCAGGCACTTGTATACATGCTGTGAGCTGTATGAACCCTTATCACGTAGCCGACTGGTCTGAAGTAGCCTTGGGTGTAGTGGTGAGAACATGGATGGAAGTGTGTGGCCAGCCGGTGTTGCTGGATCTTGGCTGTGAAATGCGAGTTTGGGATGAAAGTCTGAGCCACAGAAAGTTAGGGTTGCAGAAGTCACCTGTGTCCTGAAGGGTGCTGGTGTGAACAGTGCCCTGTGGTTAGGGCCTGCTCTGCACCGCGTGGTTCTTAGACCCTGGCTGGCAGTTTGCCCCACGTGTCTGTCCAGCTCAACAGCAGCTTCTGCCTTTTTCATCCTCTGTTCCTGGGATCTACATGTGGGCACATTGTTAGCCCTTGGGCAGTACAGGTTGAAAAACTACAAAATCTTGTCATTAATAGCTCCCATACACATGCCTTGGTCCTCCCTCTCTGGGCTAATCTTGCTTTGGAAAAGAGGTCTTTAACATGATCCCTTCTGCGGAAGAATGTGGCGATTCCCTAGTTATCCAATCCAGATTTTTCCAGATGTCCTAAGGGAAATGAGTGAGCTTTTCTTCTAAGTGCCAGATGGTGAATATTTTTGGCTTTATGAGCCACATGCTTTTCCTTCATTTTCTTTTTGTTGTTTGTTTTTACCACCTTTCTTTAAAAATAAGGGAACTGCTGTTAGCTCGAGGGCCTCTTATTTATTTTTTAACTTTGATGGAAGGTACTGTTATCCTGCTTGTCTTTCCGTGTTGCCTTGTCTGGCCGGTGGCTCGCCAGTGTGCTTTCAACACCGGCTGAAGCTGCTCTGGCTCCTTTTATCAAATCCGTCTCAGAAACTTTCAGCTCTCAGTTTGGTTTTGAATTTTTTTTTTTTTTTTTTTTTTGCTTGCTTGTTTGCTTGAGAGACAGAGGTAGAGAGGAGGAGATCCTCCGTCCGATGGTTCCCTTCCCCTGGGGCTGCCGCAGCTGGGCTGGCTGCCGCTGGAGGGGCAGGGGTCTCAGGACTTAGGCAGTCTTGCTGCCTTCCCCCTCCACCACCCCCACTAGTGGAGCTGACCCCGAAGTGGAGCAGCCAAGACTTGAATGCATTGCCCGCGTATGCGGCAGTGCAGGTGGCTGCCCAGCCCATCATAGCACAGCCTTGCCATTTGTAATGTGGACCACATGGTTTGGCAGAGTCTCAAAAGTGTTTTAAATGAAAATTAGCACTCATCTCTTCCTCGAACAT